AACTGGACATGGGGCTGGAAGCAGTTCAATTGGCCTAACCAGACAAGTCCCGAGCGGTCAAAAAAGTGTTAATAAAACATAGTAAAACACATAATAAAATATATATTTAAAGAATGATTTAACAAAACACATCCAATTGAAATTGAAAATAATCAAACAATAGATTTTAAAGAATCCATTCGTGCCTAGAGGTATTTTTGAAATTTTTCAAAAAGATAGGAAATTACCAAAACATTTGCAAATCTTTTTCCAAAATGATAAAAAGCATTTAAAAATACACTCAAAAGAAAATCCCTTATTTTTTTGGTGTTTTGTATAATTCTTTTACATATGTTTTTAAAATGCCTGGCCAGTTCACCAAAATTGGAACCAGATTTAGGCCACTTTCAATTTAACCGGGCTAATTGGGTAGCTCGAAAACTTTAACTAAAATGGTTAACCGGACATGGGGCCGAAAGCGGTTCAACCGACCTAACCGAGCAACTCCCGGGCGGTAAAAAAAGTGTTAAAAAAAATAGTAAAATGCATAATATATATATATATATATAAATAAAGAATGATTAAGCAAAACACATCCAATTGAAATTGAAAATAATGAAAATATAGATTTCAAAGAATCGATTTGTGCCCAGGGGTATTTTTAAAAATTTTCAAAAAAGATGGGAAAATACCAAAACATTTTCAAATACTTTTCCAAAATGATAAAAAAACATTTAAAAATACACTCCAAAGAAAATCTCTTATTGTTTGGGATTTTGTATAATTCTTTTACATTTGTTTTAAAATGCCCCGGTTCACCAAAATTGGAACCAGCTAGTGACGGCTTTCGATTTAAACGAGCAAATTGGGGAGTTTGAAAAATTGAACTAGAATGGTTAACGGACATGGGGTCGGAAGCGGTTCAACCGGCCTAACTGGGCAAGTCCCAGGCAGTCAAAAAATTGTTAAAAAAACATAGTAAAACACATAAATAAAAAATATATATTTAAATAATGATTATACAAAACACATCCAAATGAGATTGAAAATAATGATAAAATAGATTTTAAAGAATCGATTTGTGGCTAGGGGTATTTTCAAAATTTTTCAAAAAAATGAAAAAATACCATAACATTTTCAAATCTTTTTTCCAAAATGATAAAAAGCATTTAAAAATACACTCTAAACAAAATCCCTTATTTTTTTAGGATTTTGTATAATTCTTTTACATTTGTTTTTAAAATGCCATGCCGATTCACCAAAATTGGAATCGGCTAGTGGCTTCTCCTGATATAACGGGCTAATGGGGTAGTACAAAAATTGAACTGGAATGGTTAACTGGATATGGGGCTAGAAGTGATTCAACTGGCCTAACCGGGCAAGTCTCGGGTGGTTAAAAAAGTGTTAAACAAAAAAAGTCTTGAACAAACATAGTAAAACACATAGTGAAATATATATATATATATATAAAGAATGATTAAACAAAACACATCAAAAAAAAATTGAAAATAATGAAAAATAGATTTTAAAGAATCGATTTGTGCCCAGGGATATTTTTGAAATTTTCCAAAAAAGATGAAAAAATACCAAAACATTTTCAAATCTTTTTCTAAAATGATAAAAAGCATTTAAAAATACACTCCAAACAAAATCCCTTATTTTTTGGGATTTTGTATAATTCGTTTACATTTGTTTTTAAAATACCTAGCCTGGTTCACCAAAATTGTAACCGGTAGTGGCTACTTCCCATTTAACCCGGTTAAGCGGGCAGTTGGAAAAATTTAATTGGATTGGTTAACTGGGGCTGGAAGCGGTTGAACCTGTCTAACTGGTCAAGTCTCAGGCGGTCAAAAAAGTGTTAAAAAATTAATAAAATACATAATAAAATATATATATTTAAAGAAGGATAATATATATATATATATATATATATAAAGAATGATTAGACAAAACACATCCAAATGTGATTGAAAATAATGAATAAGTAGATTTTAAAGAATCAATTTGTGTCCAGGGGTATTTTCGAAATTTTTTATAAAAGATGGGAAAACACCACAACATTTTTAAATCTTTTTTCCAAAACTATTAAAAGCATTTAAAAATACACTCCAAACAAAATCACTTATTTTTTTGGTATTTTTTAGAATTCTTTTGCTTTTGTTTTTAAAATGCATGGCCGGTTCACTAAAATTGGAACCTGCTAGTGGTTTCTGATTTAATCGGGCTAATAGAATAGTTCGAAAATTGAGCTGGAATGGTTAAGGGGGGCCGGAAGCAGTTCAATTCGCCTAACTAGGCAAGTCTTGGGCGGTAAAAAAAGTGTTAAAAAAACATAGTAAAACACATAATAAAATATATATTTAAAGAATGATTAAACAAACACATCCAAAAAAAATTAAAAATAATGAAAAAATAGATTTAAAGAATCCATTTGTGCCCAGGCATATTTTTGAAATTTTCCAAAAAAATATAGAAAACTACCAAAACATTTGCAAATCTTTTTACAAAATGATAAAAAACATTTAAAATTACACTCCAAAAAAAATCCCTTAGTTTTTGGGGTTTTGTATAATTCCTTTACATTTGTATAATTCTTTTGGAATAACATTTTTTTGTTTGGGAATACTAGTGGTGATTCTAATTTAGATCGCACCTTTCCTATTTAAAAAGTACTCTTTAAGTAGGGTGTAAGCATACAACATGCTCCCTAGGAGGGCCCTTTTAATTTTAAATGAAGTGGGCCAAAAGGAAAGAACAAGTTGCATTTGGAATTAGATTAAAAAAAAAAAATTGTTGATGTAATGGCCAATAACAAAAGGTGTCCTTCTTGTCTCGTGCCATCTCATGTCCACAAATTCAATCAACAGGAAAATAATGGGAAAATTTCATAGAAAAAGCCACCAATTCTGCCTTTAATTGGAAGATTAGTGTTGGAGATGCATGGAACAAAATGAACTCTTTTGCGCTTTTTGAGGTTCCATGCTTGAGTACTAAGGTGGAAGAACAGGTTGAGACAGATAAAAGATAGAGTGAGATTGATGTATCCGAAAAAATTGACTATTTCAAAAATGGATTGAAATGAATAAGGACTCGTTATCTCCATTAATTTACTTAAAAAAATACACAAAAACTTAGTACAAACAGATAAATTAGCAAAAATGTGAAACTCAGATAAACCGTTGTAGAGAGAGAAATAAATCATTAACAAATTAATGAGAATAGCAACTAGGGGTGGCAACGGGTCGGGTTGGGTTCAACTGGATCTAATCTCGGACACAGACCCAATCTAAAAAATAAAATATATTGAATATATATGTATTATTTATATATTATAACTAAAAATATATATTTATATTCATTTACATATTAATTAAATATTATTACAATTTTATATATTAAATTATTATTCATATAATAACAATATTCAGGACGGGTCCACATGGACCCAGACCGAGAGCTGATCGGTTGGGTCCAAATCTTGGACCTATATTCGAACCCAACCCATCGGGTCTGGGTTCATTGCCACCCATGTAGAGAGAGAGAGAGAGCGAGAAAGATCATCCACTCAAATTAATCAAAATCTGAGTCCTCCAAAAGAAGGAATCCTATGTAGCGGTCAATTTTGCAATGTGAATGCATGCTTAAACGTGCACGCTCACGAGTGGTCAAGACTTGAGAGAATTGGTCTAATAATTATTTATGACACTACGAACAGCTCATAAAGAAAAGTAAAAGAAGGAAATTTCAAAAATGTCGAATTTCAAAACAAACGGATCTATTAGTAATTACTATTACTAAATAAATTTTAGACAAATCCATTTTATTATTCAAAAATTTAAAATAGTCTCTTATGTTCACCTTTTGCACTCAAGTTGTATTTTGAAGAGCATACGATATATTTTAATATTATTATTTTGTACAGCAGACTTAACTTTGAGGTATTCGCATACATCTTATATGCTTTAAAAAAAAGTAAGACTTGAGTATAAAATATAAAATATAAAAACTATTTATCGAAATCTAACATGAAATAGGATTTTTTTTGTAAATTATCATTATTATTATTATTATTAATTAATTATTGCTATAAGTTCTATAAGTTCAAAGTCTTGATTGAACCATCGGAAACAATCAATAGAAGTTACCCCATCAGGTCAACTTAATTCTAATTAATTAGATTGGACCATGAAAACAAAAATCTGAGAGCGTGCCTTTTTATTTAAATGTAGTACAATCTAATAAGCAACGAATAATTTTATGAAAAAATTAATCTCTATTTGAATTCAAACATCACATACTCAGCTTAATACGTGTTATGTAAGGATGCCAACATTGTAAAAGAAGGCAACTTGCTACAAGGTTGGAGAATTAAAAGATTTCATTAATAAGGATTTATACAACAAAAACTCATCTTGAATGGTAAAAGCTAGTTCTAAATACTAAGATGTTAAAGCTAGCTTTTGTCATTAACCACAATAAACTTTAATTAAAAAAGTGTAACATAAAAGCTTTGACATTGAAACTTTCTTTTAAAAAGCAAGTTTATCTTAATGCAAATTACTTAATTTTATTGATCAAGAAAAATAATGCATTCCAAGCACAAAGAGCCAAATGGCAAATCTTGAGCCATTAGGAGTCAAATGGTAGCCACCCATTCTCCCATTTTACTTTTTGAACACTCCATCTCAGAGGAAGCTTCATATGAGAAGAAGCCATAGAAGTACTTCTGCTTTTCCTTTTTCTGTTTCTTTTCTTTTCTTCTCATTTTCAGACTTATTTTTTCTTGTACTTTTAAACTGCCTCACCCTTGTTACCCTTTCAGTAAATTAATCGTTCTATTCATCACAGATACCAAAGGAAATCCATGTCATATTTGAATGTTATATATATTTTATTCAACCAAAGTTTGACTTTTGAGATTTACCATCTAACAGACGGAATATATTAATAAAAGGTATGGATTTTTGACATGGGTTTCTTAATTGCTTTCTTTAGTTTAAAGCCACTGTTGAATTGCTTTCACCACAGGATAATCGATTAGATGTAATTTGACTGGAGTTTTGACTCTTGTTCAAAGTAATAATTGAACCCAATTTGGTGGTTTAACTTTAGTAGGAGATTGTGGAGGAACTTCTGTAAAAAAAATAAATTGTTGGTTATTTTCTTTATTTTTTATTTTTTCTTCTTTTATTTGGGGCAGTCAAAATTCTTGATATTTGTGGGAATTAGCAGGAAATTTGGACTTTTTTTAGATGGGTTTTCAGTGTTTGTGATTGGGGCCCAGTGTCTGCTTCTTTTGGAAGGATGAAATGTGAAAGGGTCAGCAATTCAACCATGAATTTATGCCTTTTGAGCATCACTGCAATGATGTGATGGCCCTCTTCGAAAAATCTAGGGTTTGGGCATTGCATTTATTGCAGAACTTCCTCAAGTTCTTGGATTATAAATTCTATCCCTGGTGTAAATTTAGTGGGTTTCTTTTGGGGCTTAAATTCTACATGATTTTATAGGGTTCTCTTTTTTTTTTATCTTGGATAGATTTGTTGGGGTTTTAACATCTAACTTTGATTTCTCAGTCTCTAAATTGGGGTCCCTCTGTTCTCTTGGATTAATTTGGTGGGGTTTCTTTGGTTTCTCAGCCGCTAAATTTGGAGGCTCTCTTTCCTTTTATTCTCTTCTTTTTATTATTGTTTTTCTGCGAATGTGACTTACTGCCTCCACAAGGCTCCAAGGTGCCTCCTTTTCATTGAATTTTGGTGTGTTAGAGATAGATTTGCTAGGGGTTTGGAATTAAATTTGTGGCCAGATATAAAGGCTTTGCTTTGTTTTGGTGGGGGGTTTTAATATGAATAAACTGGTTTGTCCGCTATCTATACTGATAAATTTGGAGTTGGGCTATCCACGCTTCTAAGTTTGAAGGTCTCTTTCCTGTAAATTGAGAAAAAGGTTTCTATTTTTTTGGCTGCATTTCAATTAAGTCCATGTTATACTCATCAAGCTTGAAAGGACCATGTACTTCTGAATGGTTGTTGGGGTCTTAGTTTAGACTTTAGAGTATTTATGAATGAGGTACCTAAAATTAGCTGAAGTTTGGTTACAGTAAAAAACCAGAAGGGGCTGAAAAAAACCCTAAACGTAACCTTTTTTTTTCTGGTGAGGTTATAGTTTTTACCTTCTTTTGGCCGATGATGGTCTTAAAGATTGTGAGCAAAGACAACTAACATGAGAAATAAGAGGAAATGGATGAGAGAGAAGTATATTGAGATCAGATTAAGAGTGAGAAAGATAATGCAGTGCTTGTGTTCAGGGGAGCAGTTAATTGGTGATGAAATGCCTCAGTCTCCTGAATCCCTTGCAACCAGAGATTATTCCGCGAGTGGTTATTCTTCAAGGGTCGAGGAGGGAGAGCCGAGGGTGGATAGGGGAAATATTGAAGAAGCTGAATCTTCTCTCAGAGAAGGAATTTGTCTTAATTATGAGGTTGGTCACACACACACACACTCTCTCTCTCTAAGTCTTTTGTAATGTTTCTGCACATTAACGTGTCTGTGGGATGCTAGACTGAGGCCCTGAGGGAGGGTATCATTTAGTTTCGCAGTGTAGAGAGAGAGAGAGAGAGAGAGAGAGAGAGAGGAGGGTAGGGGTGGGTAGTAAGTAGTAGTAGACGACGTACTATAGTTAGGTAGGTAACGGTAACGTTAACGTTAATTTAAGTTACGTTACGTTTACGTTTACGTTTTACGTT